TGTTTGGTTGGTTCCAAATAATCAATCAGAAATTTTCAATTTTTAATTAATTGAGTATGGTATATGGTATAAAATAATTCTCAGTTTAGACTGAGTATTAAAATCACCTAAGGGAGCTAGCTCATTTTAAAATAACACTAATAGGGATCCAAATTCATACATTCTGAATTAATTGAACTCATAAAGTAGCTATGGTATTAGTATTTTTGAAGAAAACTCCAGGGTGCAAATGATTGTGATCTAAGAAACAAGTGTTCATTTTGTAGAAACCACTCATTAAGTTTAGCAGAGATATTAAAACAAGAGGAAATGGAATGTTTTTATTGTAGATTATTACCATCACAGGTTTGGTGAAGTTACTTGGAATAATCTGTGGTTATAAAAGAATTACTCAGAAGGTAACACAAAAAAACTGTGCATTAGAAAAAAAATGTAGAAATAAATCAATCTTGCCTGCCACCCCTCATCCTCTTTCCACTTGCTTCCCAGCATCCCATTACAGTGGATCTTTTGATGACTTCAACTTTGAGAGGAAGCGTACTAATATTCTGCAGACAACAGTAGGTGTTCTACAAGTGACAATATAGGAAAGTTTAAAGTGGGTCAACTGTAACTTGTTTCTACAATTTTCTTAATATTAGCATTTACAAAAATTAGTTATATTTACTATTCTTCAAATTTTGTTTATTTCTTTAATCTACAAAGTTATCTAATTAACTAGGATAAACACCTATATGAATCTATACAAAATGATTTTTACTTACAAATTACTCTTCTCATTAGAGATCAGTAAACCTTAGTATACATTTGTATACTTGTGAAGATTTGTAACTTTTTGGTCAAAATTATTTTGTATACTTGAATGTGATCCTGAACTTCTGATATCTGAGTCAATATATCCCTTAACTAGAATGCAGATCTACTTGGAGAGGAAAAAAAATCTCCCCAGAAAATCCTCCTTAAGAAATACTTCCAACACTAACCAGGTAACATACTTTTTACAGATAAGCATTTTGATCAGACAAGTCAACTGCTAACTGGATTTCTAAGAATATGGATTCACATTTTAGCAATAAGTCTCTGTATATTTGTGTGTATGTGTGCATGTGTATATATATGTATATTTTGCACACACATATGTGTATATATATATACACATATGTGTGTGTGTGTGTGTGTGTGTGTGCAAAATTGCAAAGGCCAATTATATAGTTTTCATTCAAAGTACTGTCTTTGGAGAATTTCGTGAGTGACAAGTACTCCTCCACTTATATTATTAGGTTTATCCTTTTAAAAAGTCAAGCAATCAGAAAGAAAAGTCATTCACAGCATTTAACCTAAACTAGGAGCAGCATTACTGTCACTGTAAAATATATTTTATCACGAGGCATATCATGGGATACAAAGCCTTTACAAGGCCTTCAATATATATTTTATGGGGTAAGGGAAGAAAGGGATGACTATAGCCAAAAGATTCAAATAAAATGATTTGTCCAGTGTTACTTAAAAGAATACTGCTCAACACATTTGTCTTTGAAAAAAGTCCATGTGCAAATTTTTGGGGATGTTCAGCTTTACCTAAAGAGAAAAATACACTATTTGTAGCAGAAAGTTTCAAGAAAATATTTACACCATACTGTGATCACAAGAAAAATCTCACATCTGTATATCAACTTTAATTCTTACATCTTGTGAAAAAAATTGAAGTTTATCTTATATCATATTTTCCTCTGTATTTATTTGTTGTAAATACTTTAGATCTTTGAGATAAGAGGAAATTAATAATCCATTTCTCTCTTAATTCAGAGAAAATATGGTTAGTTATCCTGATTACAAATGTAAAGAAAACCTAAGATAGTTATAAAATTATACTATTATATACACGGAGCTCAGGAGTAATATACTTATTTCTGGGCAATACAACACCAACAATTTAATATAAGTTTCCATGCATTTCTTTTCTTACTTAAGTTTAACTTGTAAAGGTCATTTAACAGTAAGGATTTCAGATAGAGAATGATTAATATCATATAATTACTCAGCACGCTTTTATCAGATTAAAATACTTCCCTGATTTTCTACTGTCAAATAAATATAGAATTCCTTTGTAGGGGATTATCAACAAACCAAATGCTTTATATGCAGTGTGAAAAATTCAATCACAATTGTCAAAGATCAAGCTGGGTACTTCTGATAACAAACACGATGAGATATCTTGTTCAAAATATGCTTTCAACTTGACGTGTAGTCTAATAAAAATATGAGTTGTAGTATTTATTTTGTTTCTGGCATAACAGAAGGCTCCTACAAGAGATGATCAAAATACCCAGTATCATTGAATAAAAATATAGTCAGCTCTTTATATGGAGACAGATTAACTGATTTGTAAAGGAATAACAGCATGTATTGCATTTGTATAGAAATTTTAAATTACTATGCATCAGCAGTGGTATCTCAATGAGAGTAAGTCTATTTTCAACTACAAAATAAATATGGCACTCTACATTGTGTATATTGCAACAAGTTCATTCATTCAGTAGCTATGTATTGAGTATTTATTTAACAAGCACTATTTTAAGCTATTCTACCTCATTAATCAGACTCAGACTTCTGTCAACAGCTCTCTGAAGTGAAGGCATGAAATAGGGCAAGCAGCCAACTTTGGTGGGCCACTAACTAAAGTGAAACAGACACTTTCGCTAGGAAATAACCCCTTGTAGATTTCAGGTGTGCACTTAGCTTCACCCACACCTTATTCCTCATCTTCCTTTTGACTCCTTAGTTTTCCTTCTCAGGGAAAGGTTAGACTTGGAAGTTTAACTTACCTCCTCCTTCAGACTCTGTAATAATCACCCACGAGCAAGTCCCCAAATGTTGAATTTGCATATTTCTCTCCATCTTCTCTAGCATCCGATCTCAAATGTCACTACTACACTTTACCTTGGGACTCCATCACCTCAAAATGCAGAGATTGTTACACGGTACACATACAAACGTTTACTAAAGTATTGTACAGGGAAGCTTAAAAAAGATCTCCTTTAGGTAAACAGAGGAAGAAAACATCATCAAATTCTGATCTAATTCCCTTTCGAGCCATCACTTCACACATGTAAGCAGCTATACCAACCTATCAGTTGGCTAAACTAGAAACAGAAATTACAGTTGATACTTTACTTTTTCCTTCACTTTCAAGACTATCTTCCATATTTATCTTCTAACATCAATTTCCTCTCACACTCCTCATCCTGTATTTCAGGTCAGCAAGCCATGGAGTGTCTCCCCACCTTAACTCTCAAACCCAGGGCTGACCTATAAAACTTTCTGCAGTGGTAGAAATGAGCTATGTCTATGTTGACAAATCAGATACTGAAAACATAGCATGCAGCAGCAGCAATTATGACTAATAAAATTTTAACTTTATTTAAATTTTAATTAAGTTTAAATAGCCATATATGTTTAATGACAACAGTACCTGACAGCACAGCTTGGCTTACTTGCACATTAACTATAGGATTATCTTCCAACCAAGCATCAGATCACATTACCTACTTTGTAGTATAATATGTCTTTAAACAATCAACACACCTAGGATGCCATTCACAGCTGCTAAACATCTACACCACTTTCCAACCCCATCCTGTGCCATAAAATGCCAAAGATACTAGATCACTCAAGGGACTCACACATGTCACACCATAAGCCTTCAAGCAAACTTCTTTCTCTTGTGTAGGATGGCTTTTTCTCTGTGATATTCCTAGTCCTCACTGAACATCTCTAGACAACCAGTTGCCCAATAGAAGCTAAACTAGTCTCTCCAGCCTAACTCAACATTTTGAAGACAGCTCCACTGAAACACTCAATCATAATTAGTAGTTTATATGTAGAAAATGTGAGCTCCACATATGCCATGTAAATATTAATCACTACATTAACGTGATGATATAGTAAAGCATCTGCCACAGTACGGCTTCTGAGTAAGTACTTAATGGCTATGCATTCTATATTATGTTTCAGGAACTATGTCACCACAAAGGGAACTTGACCAAATACAGAACTCAATAAACACAGGAGAAGAAAAAGATGGAAATTGAAGAAGGGAAGACTCAGAAGGCACAGGTATGAATGAAAGTCTTGGATAGGAAAACTGTTAGAAAATTCATGTAATCACCAGAGAAATAGATATTCATAAACCATAGCTAAAACCAAACTTTTATTTTCACCTTCCTATATAACTGGCAATGGCAATAATCAAATTTCTTAATCAGAGAGTGCAGAAGTAAGGTTAAGAATAAGAGAAAGCGTTTTTCTGAGGTGTATCTGAGAGAATTTACTGTTAACAGATCAATAAAGTATGGTCCAGTCATTGTTAAAGAGTTCTGTTATAAAAAAAACACGGAAAATATTGGTTTCAAGTAAATTCAACCTGTGGAAAATCCCAGAAGGTTTAAAAAAAAAACTACAAATGTACTCAATTTTCATATCCTCTAAAACTATAGTGAGAAATCTTTTATACTAATCAATGTCATTGGAAGAATAGTTAGTCCTAATATAATTATTTCCCTTTCCTATACAAAGCATTCTTCTTCTCCTTCTAGTCTTAAAAGACAATGCAGAGAAATATTTAATTAAAGATAAAAAATGTAGACAATCCTAAGCAAAATTCAATATATATCATCATTTGCAGATCTCTGAACTAAACAAATATACCTTAAACAATATTGTAATGTTCCGTTTTGTTGCTTTGAGAAAGCACAGGTTTACGAAATAATTTTGTTATTAAACAACTGAAGGATTTGCAGATCAGAGAAAATTAATATTTGGATTTAGTTCAGAGGTGGAGTAAATTAGCTCAGTTCACTCTGGGTTTGAGTTCATGGTTCAGTTCAAGTTCTTGATAATGAGCACATCAAAATAAAAAAAAAAATTCAATAATGTAATCAGGGCTGACATTTAAGAGCAAGTGTTCAGGCAAATACGTGTTTTAAGAAAAACAAACTCACTTTACAGAGAGAACTAAGGTTAAATCCGAAGGTTTGAGCATTCCGGGAGCCAGCATTCATGTAGTTTCCCATTAGCAACACAAGTTCCAGCAACTTGCTAAAGCTTTTGCTCTTCTTTATCTCTTCACAGGCACTACTGACAGCCATGATGTCAGGTTTGATGTTGTTCACCTGCTCTTCAAACTGAAGCTTAAAGAGAATAGCAGTGAGCCGTGGCCGTAGTCTCTTCACATTGCTCATCTGATTGAAAAGAAAATAGCAGATTTCCTTTAAAATGCATGGTATACTTTAGTACGGTACGATTGCAAGTAATCTGGGATGATTTATTGGTATGACAGATCCGAAGAAGCAATATGTCCCCTGAAACTGATGGCAGGAAGAGAGAAGAGAGTTCTGCTTATTTCTGTAAAGAATCCAGAGTCATCCCTCAAAAACACAAAATTAACAATTTAGATGTGCAATGAAAAGAAAGCTTTAATGAAACAGTGATGTCTAATTAAGTAATAAAGTAAACATGATTTTTTAAAAAGGCTGAATTTTAAAAATGTAACAGGATACATAGGCAACAAATTACAAAGCATTCATATCATGATCTTAAATCAACTCTGTTCAGTATTGAAATTCACGAGGTCATGTTTAAAACATATTCAAGAAAGGTCTAAAAAAGGTTTGTTTTCTTCAAATAGCAATTGCTGTCCTCAGAAGCCCTGCTGACTAACAGTGTGTGTTAGATAGAGGGAGAGTAAATAGGTCCCAATTTGTGCTAAATTGACTTTCTTCAGAAACACAGAGAGTAGAATGACTCCTGACACATACTAAATTAGCAGAATCAGAGTGAGAAAACATGGGAGTAGCAGGAGAATGAGGTGGTACAAAGCCACATGTCTATCACATGCCATGTAAGTCCTGGTTGGGAATTCTGTATTTCTCTTCTGGGGATGTGGGTAACTGTCTATTTCAGAAAGAACAAAAGGGCTTTGTACAAATGTATAAAAATAGAATAATGATAATTGTGAAGAATTGTTTAAAAAGGGTAAGAAGATGGGAAAAGAAAGTATTACAGGGAGATGATTTGATCAAAAACATATATATATGCATAGAAATAAATTATATATTGTAGTATCTGCAGTTATTTCTCTTTTTCCTTAGGTTTATTCCCTTTTGTTGCTTTTTTAAAGTTTCTGTACATTTTGCCTTGTATATTTATCTGATTTGGGGAGGTTCCGGAAAGGGAAGCACAGAAATTGTGGGACAAAGGATGAACCAATTCAGCAGTGATACTCACTAGAAACTATGTTGGAAAGGAACTATACAACTGGAGGTAAAAGGGGACAGAAGGGAAAAAAGTAGGAGAAAATCAGGGAGAGGATGACCCTGTTCAGAAAAAAGTGTACTCATGACTTTACTCATGTAATCACCTTCACAATAAATTTTAAATAAAATATACAAGACAATATAAAAAAGAAAGATATTACAATGAATCTCTATAATAAAGGGTAAGGGCTAAAACATAACATTTGTTCTATGAACACAGGGGAGGGAATGACCACTTAGAAGTAGACATAAAGCACACTGAATGTAACTACATATGAATTCCTCCACTGCAAGGAATTTAATGAATTTATTATTTGAGATTTAAGTCACATGGATGGCAATATAATAGTTAAATTGTTGAAGTTATGCAAGGAAATATCAGATATAGTTTGAGGCAAGGATGGACACAAACAGTGACTAGACTCGTTCTTATTGTTCACTAACCCAAAAGAAAAAGCTAAAGTACAATGTTATTTGTAGAGTGTCAAATACGATGAAAAAAAAATCAGGTACAGAATTGAATTTGCTCATGTATAATACTTATTATTTTCAACAACATACAGCTAGGGGAGTAGGTCAGTGTTAGAATGTTTGCCTAACATTCATAAGGTTTTGGGTTCAATACTTATTACTGAGGGCAAAACAAACAAACAAACAAACCCAGAGCAAAATAAAATCTACTAAACAAAAGTTATTTGACACCTTTAAGAAAAATAGAACCTAGCCAACTCATCTAACAAAACTGAGCAATGGAATAAACTTTGAGTAGACACTTCTGAGAAAATGGCTTCAAATAGACTGAATCATTACAGGGACTCAAGCATTTCTTTGGCAAATAATTTAAATATCCAATTTATACCTAACATTTTTCTCAGCTACATGACATATGTTAATTTTCACATAAGCAAGATACTAAGAAGTCTAATAATACATAAGTTAGTAAGAATTCATAAGATACTTTAGTGTTCTCAATTCCTTGGCTTCAAAGAATGATTTTAAATTCCCTTATCCACGAATCTCTTTTCTTCCACAGAAGAGTAAAAGGACTGCAAACACAACAAAGACTTAATATAATGTTTCATAGAATAAGTCTATGATATTCTTAACAGGGGATCACAATAGCCAAATTTCTAAGAGCACAGGACTATATAATAAAACATATTAAAATGAACTCCAAGAATTGGAAACAAGACGTTCTTATTATGTCCTGTAAGCAGTTACTTCTTTTGTTGTTATTGTTGTTGTTTCAGTTTTCTGTGCCTTTTGTCTTGTATGTATGTATATCTGATCCATGGAAGGAAACAGCAGGACAAAGGATGAACTAATGCAACAATAATAGTCACTATTTCCACTATGTTGGAAATGAACTATACAAGTTGGGGAGGGGTAAAAGGGAAGGGTAAGTAGGAGAAAATGAAAGAAGGGATAACAGTATTTAAAAAGAAATGTACTCCTTACTTATAACTGTAATCCCCCATTCATAACTTTTACAATAATAATATATAAAAACAAGTTTCATAAACTATAATCAATGTAAAATGATGAAAGACAAGGATGACACTATTAAAAAGTAAATTCTTACTGGACATGAGTTGATCCTTTAAGGTACTTAGTACACAAAGTAGGGTTAAAGCAGTTTAATTCTCATAAACTCATTTAATTTTCTGAAAATATGCATCAAAATAAATTTGCATCTGTGGGCAGTGGTTTCATCCATAAACCTTATAAACGGCAAATGTCTATATACTACATTGGTAACATGAGTAACACTTTGACAGTTAATATGTCCTTTGGAATCATACATACGAAAAAAAAATGTTTTCATGTCCTTCATAAAATTATAGCCATTCACAAGATGTTCTATTTTCAACTGCAGCCCTCATTCAAGATTATGAACTACTTGGCACTTCGCAATAAACACAATAAGAATCCTCTAGTTTCCCATGCCACATCTTAGTATTACAAAACATTATTATCTAACATATATTAATGTACTGTTTCATGCACACAGAGGAGAAAAAAATTGCTTAAATGCCTACATTATACCACCCCAAAATATGTTCAAACACTCCTGCTGACAAGCTAACCATATGCAGCTAACATAAAGTAATTAATTTTCCTAGAAAAATATAACCTAGATTTGTATGAGTAATGAGTCTATCTGGCACTAGGGACAGGTACCTTGGAAAGATAAAGTCTATGATGTAATATGAAACAAAGTACTATAAGTTCATAAAAATCCCTGACAAAGCAAAGTCAGCAAAGGTAACCTAGAAACAGAGCTTTGAATGAAACATTTTTCATTGTATGTCCTTTTCATGTGGTTCTTACTTCCAACTTTCAATAAATTAGTGTTTTGACTAATATTAAATAAATGTATTTTAAACAAAACTACTGAGCTGGAATGACTTGACAGGTCATCTGGAACTTATTCCTGTCCTTAGTTTCCTCATTAGTGGTACAATTCTCACCTAGGTCCAATGATTGCCCTTCACAAGGAAAAAAAAATTCAACTACACCTAATGTTCATGATCTAAATTTTTTGACCTATCATAAGAGAAGGGTATGGGCTAGGCAGCTGGATCAGTGGTAGAGTGCTTGCCTTGCATGCATGAGGCCCTAGGTTCCTTCCTCAGCACCACATAAACAGAAAAAGCTGGAAGAGGTGATGTGGCTCAAATAATGGAGCGCTAGCCTTGAGCTGAAGAGCTCAGAAATAGTGCCCAGGCCCAGAGTTCAAGAACCACCACTGACCGGGGGAGGTGGGGGGGGGGGGGGGGGGGGCGGCTTAAAATCTCATACTGAAATCAAATTTTATTTCCTCAGATGGAAGCATAGAGTAAAAAGGAAAAAAAATGCCTATGTTTGAAAAATATTTCCTTACCTCACTTCTATCCATATTTTGCTTTCTGTTCCATTCTCAAGAAGTCTAGAAACCTGCTTGGCTGCCAAAGTCTAAACTAAATGCAGAAATCAAGACCAATGATACTTGAATACTATTCCAAGGACAACAGAAATTTATTTTTAATAAAGAGTGAAGTTATAGTAAAAACTAGTAATTAGAATGATAGAAGGTAGAATTTCTTTTCTATAGAGGAATCTTGTCAGTTTATTGTTATGAAATGTTATTAATATAAACTCATAACCCCAAATTTATGACAATCAGTTATAATCTGAAGATCAATCTGAAAAAGTGAAAACACTTGTGTCCTTATTATTATTGTTTTTTGGGGGGAGTTGTAGGGCTTGAACTCTGGGCCTGGGCACTGTCCCTGAGCTCTTCAGCTCAAGGCAAGTACTCTACAAATTGAGGCACAGCACCACTTCTGGTGTTCTGGTGGCTAATTGGAGACAAGAATTTCACGGACTTTCCGGTTGGGGCTGGCTTTGAATCACAATCCTAAAATATCAGCCTCCTAATTAGATAGGACGTGAGCTATTGGCGTCCAGCTGTCCTTACTATTTTTGAAGGCACATATCAATGGTTCTCACACCTTTCCCATACTACCATCCACAGACATACCAGAATGAATGAGGAAAGTTTAAAAGCAGTAACTGAGGGAAATTTTTATTTCAAAGTTTTGCTTGGTAGCAACATATGTGATGGAGGAACAAGGTAAGGTGGATAGAACTGTAGAAAACCAATGAACCAACAAGTACAGACTGGGCCCCACTCACTGCTTTGAGAGGCACAGAAGTTATGGCTGCCTGTGTAGCACATATTGTATAGGACATAGTACATATTGTGTAGCTCTTCCCATCTGTCTTAAATGGTAAGGAATAGGTTTCCACAAGAAGATGTAATATCCCATAATTGTATCACATGAGGTGTTCACATATAATCTTAATTTTAGTCAATTTCCATGGGGTCAAAAAGAATTAACTTGACATGGCACATCACACATATTTGACATTATGCATGGCTG